TATCATATGGCTAATGTCCATAGGTAAATTGCAGAGGAGTGATCAAATCAGTCAACCAGACTTCCACATTCACTCTTACTTAGACATATGCTTTTGGCACTTTTTTTTTTTCAGAGAAAAACAAAACAGACAAACAAAAAATCTGACTCCGCAGTTTATACAGAAGCATTACTTTTTGTCCAATACGTAATTATTCTGCAATATACAGATATGTCACTAAAGTTGCTTTAGCATTTTATGTTTTTTCAATAAAAAAGTTAACATTTTTATTTCTAAATGTTAAAGAGGAGACTGAAAACAAGCTGCTGTGAAAGATATTTTTGAAATTATGTGTTCCGACAAGGATCAGAGCTAAAGAGATAACTAACAGTTATTAGTGTTCAAATCCTAAATGATGTTCCAGGTGGTAAAACAATACATGACCCAGTTCATCCACCCATCCCTTTGATCAATGCAATGGAAGGTTTAGCAGCAGTGTTCACTGCAGATGACCTCATATAGATGGGATGTGCTTGGTTCATCCCTACTGTAGCTCCATTTTACTGAACATTTATTGACCTTAAGGATCTTTTCTATATAACTTCATATAATGCTGTCAATAATCCCCTAAGCCTTGTTCCTTGTTCACAGGGGAGGCAGCTGAGGCTCAGTAAAGTTTCCCAAAGTCACACCACCAGCAAGAGGTGAAGCCAGATTCAAAATCAGACCACTTGCCCATCAGAACTCCACAGTGGCATATACCTTCCCTAAGAGGACTGTCAAGGAAATTTCTGTGGTTTCTCTCTATTGGGTGAAGAGATCAGACTAACACATGCTGGGGTTTTTTTTCCCCCCTGTTTTACCTTGGCTCTTTCAAAGTATTATAAGTTGGAGGTATGTGCAACTAAACACAAAAGGAGTCTCTGAATGAGAAAGCCGGCTGCCAGCGGACAGCCTCAGGAGTGTGTGAGTGTACGAGGCTTTGTGAATATACGTGCTTCTCCCTGCAAGTCGGGAGGGCTTCCAGACACTGTACTTTGCCCATGCTCGTTGGTTGTAAGATAATTGCATGTGTATACTGACCTCAGGTGTTTTTGTTTCTGTAGCGACAGTTAAATGGTGGTTACCTACTACCCTTTCCCTTGACTTCTTCCGCCTCGAATGCAACCTGAACTCATTGACTAAAAACTCTGAGTCTGTGCCCAGACCTCCAGTGGCAGCAGCATGTGGGTCCTTAAAGAACATGGTCTGAGAACATCTGGACACAGATTCATCATTAAACATATGGTTTCAGAGAAAGACTATTTTTCTACAGATGATTAGTGATCAGAATAGACACCAGATAAGTTTCTCAGAAGAAAGAGAGATTTCAGTCTGAATGCTAAGAAAATATTGTCTGTGTAGATGCCTGTATGTTTGCAAGCATCAGAACTTTAACCTTGCAGCATACTTTGCAACCCCCTGTATTACTTGAAAATTTCATGTTCTCCAATGTAATGGTTTAAAACAAAAGTAGTACTGGACACCTCTGTAAGGTTAATTGGCACAAACTAGGTTATCATAAAAGGAAGGACGAAATGAGAAGTTACCAAAAACTTGTCAGGATAACCATGCAGGAATAAAGATATTTCTATTTAATGGTTTATTTTATGTGCAGGTCTACTTTTATTCATTTGTGTTTCAATACATATTTGCTGGAGATAAAATAATGAATAAAACTGTACAGTTTTGCCCTCTTAAAATGAAGAGACAAGTAAATAGACAATTACAATGCAGTAGGATATGAACTTTAATAATACAGCATGCTGTGATAGCCCTTAAGAGGGGACCCTGAATCAAGAAGGATAAGGAGGCTTTCTTGGTGAAATTAGTGATTAAAATGTGCTTACAGAATAACTAGGGGCCAAGGCAGGCAGATCACGGGGTCAGCAGTTCGAGACCAGCCTGACCAACATGGCGAAACCCCTTCTCTACTAAAAATACAAAAATTAGTTGGGTGTGGTGGTGGGCACCTGTAATCCCAGCTACTCAGGAGGCTGAGGCAGGAGAATTGCTTGAATCTGGGAGGTGGAGTTTGCAGTGAGCTAAGATCATGCTACTGCACTCAAGCCTGGGTGATAGAGCAAGACTCTAGACTCCATCTCGGAAAAAAAAAAAAAAAAAGAGTAAGTAGGAGATTTACAGAGAAGGATTCCATGGGAAGGAACACTGTGAGGAGAAGTTAGTTCCGCTTTGCACACACTGTCTTGAAGGTGTCTCAAATACATACTAATAATAGCTCATATTTCTGCTGAGTTCTGGGAATGTGTCAGACAAGTTTTAAATGTTGTCTCCAATGCTCTCAACAACCTGAGGAGGTAGATTTTTTTATCCTGCTTTTTACAAGGTTGAAATAAATGTTTGTGAGTCATTCGCATATTGACTGTAATGGAACCAATGGGAGGGCGTGAGGGTGCCCAAGGGAGGCACAAAGTGAATGAAGAAGAGAATCATGGAAGGTCCTGAGGAAGATCACCCAGGAGACAGAGGCTGAACAAGTGATCGGATGGAAGACAAGCCAGGACAATGCCCTATCATGGAATTGAGAAAAGAGTTGGCATCAAGAAAGCAGATGTCATCATCCACCCTGCTGGATGGGAAGACAGTCACTCTGAGGGCGGAGTGTGGTTGTCGGGAGTCAGAACATCTTCCAGGGAACTGAAGGGAGGGCAGAAAGTAAGGAAGGAGAGACAGGAAGGAGAGCAACTTTCCTCTCAATAAATACCAGGCTGAAAGGAGAGAAGAAAGAGAGGGCAGTACGAAAGTGGAGCACGGGATTGAGAGGTTTTGCTGGTTTGTGTTTTTTAGGTTGGAAGAGACCAAAGCATGTTTACATACTGAGGACGAGAACGGCAGGAGTGAAGGAAAGGTTGAAGAATGAAAAGGGGAGAAAGTGGAGGTACCTATAGGAAGGCATCTCAGGGAGCCCTAGGGGGTGGGAACCAGATGCAAGCAGGGCTTTGGCTTAGGCTGGGAGGAGGAGGAACGATTCTTTAATACAGCCGAAAGGAAGGAGAGAAGGCTGCAATGTGGACATGGGTAGATAGCTCTATTTGGTTCTCTCTACCATAACCCTCACTCCTCACGTAGATTGTTTGACAAAATTCAATCCCGTACAGCAGGTCCTCCAATGCGGTCATTTCATTGCACAGAGTTTCATTACAACATTGATGAGAAATAATAATAGTAATAATTCTTTGCTTGGGCCACTATCTGTGTGGAGTTTGCACATTATCCCCATATCTGTGTAGGTTTTCTCTGGGGACTCCAGTTTGCTCCCGTGTCCCCAAGATATGCATGTTAGGTGACCTGATGTGTCTAAACTGTCCCCATCTGTGTGAGCATGGGGGTGTGTGTGTGAGTGAGCCCTGTGGTGGGGTGGTGTCCTGTTCGGGTTAACTCTGAACTGTAATAATTGGGTAAACAATTCTCTGACTTGTTTTTATGAATCTTTTAAAAATATAAGTGTAGCTTACATTTAGTTTAATGTTTAATATTAGAAGGGTTTTGGTCTTTGTATAGACGTTTGGCATTGTTTTTGTGGCCAGAAATATGCCACAGGAACGTAACTTGTTTATATCAAATAGTCTGTGGTAAAATTGGTTTCACTCTACACAGTTTAGTTTACAGTTGTAGTTTTCAGAAACCTATAGATGACACTGAGGGCTTACTAGAATGGATTCGTTAACCAAAAGTACCCTAATGTAATTGAGATTCACTGAGATGTTTAGTTACGTCTGTTTCTTGTTCAGCCAGCCACATACTAGTTAGTATTTGCTAACATATAGCAAAGAACATTTTTAAAAATCAAGGGCGAGCATAAAATTAACATATCCCAACACCTCACTTATTCATATTTCTGACTTGGTTAGCCTTCTTAAACATTGGGAAATATTGTCAGGATTTGCCATCTGCATTAATATGTCAAAATCAGGGGGAGTGAAGAAGTTTGGTGACTTATATACAGCTTTGAAACAAACAGGTCTACACCATCTTGGTTCTTGTATTGGAATCCTTTTTGTTCCGTGTTGCCGCTGAAGTTATTTTCGGAACATCATATGGATTTTTCATTGAAACATCTGTGTTAACTTTTATTATCCCTGGTCTGTTTTGTAATTTTGGAAACAGATATAAAGAATCGCAACCCAAAGCACAGTAATATAGTGGGAAGCATCCTTCATAAGTCAATTGAGGAATTTAATAATCTCTTTAGAAATAAGCTCTGCAGCTATGAGAAAAATGTGTGGGTTAAAGGCCTTCCAATTAAGAAAGGTTTCTCTGTGGATTTATAGGCTGGTGGTTCACTCTTCCTGTTCGTGTTTCCATGGCAACTGTCAGGTAGATTTTCTGCTGCTTGCTAGGAAGTTGGAAATGTTGAGTCTGGTTGAGCCTTTTCAATTCAGTGAAGCTTAAATGAAATTCTTTGCAAGGAACTGGCATTTAGCCTGGGTCATTTATTCATATCTAGAAGAAAAAAAATCAATTATAGTAATCAAATGTGCAAATTTTTTATTGGGATTATTTTTGGTACATATTTTGTGCTGTAATCTATTTTTAATGGCAGGGTACTAAAGGTTTGAAGGACTGCAGCTGGCCTCTTCGCTATCTGATGGCTTGTGGCTTTAATTACAGCCCAAGACATAGGAAGGCATGCCTTTTTCTGGTATACTTCTGCAAGCTATAATCACCCCTGGTGATATTCAGAAGCAAACTAGGATCCAGGAGCCTCATTAGGTTGAGACACCTATATTGCAGCAAATATGATATACAACCTTTTATTCTTTCATTTTTCCTGTGCTGTTGGTTATTTGAACTAAAGCTTGGGAAAATAAATCATGTATATGCCACCATTTAAACTTCTTAGGAGTCTATTGTCTTCATTTTCCCTTCAGATTAAGCCCACTTGGGTGTCACTCACTATGGTTAATTTCAACCCACATTGACTGATGCCTGACAGCTCCATGTAGGACAGTCTCCTTTAATAAAAAAAAAAAAAAAATCAAGCATGTAGGTGGGCAAAGTGAACTCTTTACATAACATGCAACACATGCCACACAAAGGGAAGATATCTAAGGGACCATGCTTAGTGTGTTCTTTTGTTAGCATCTTTTCTCACTGGCAGAGAAACAGCAGCTTCTACAGAAAATAAGTCACAGTCCTTATTTCATACAGTGGTGCTATTTTTATCTCCCAGCTCCCCTGTGGATATTTATTATAAGATATATTATTTACAACAATGGCTTTATATGCATATTTTAGTTCATTTTGTTGCATTCCTCCTTTATCATTTGTATTCCATGCCTTTACCTACTACAATGACCCTTCATAAGATATATAGTAATTGATTGCTGTCAGGAATACAAATAAAACTGAGAAAGAGAGAGAGGGAGGGAGATTACAAAAGTCAGAGCTGAAATGTCCTTTACTTACTTGCCTTGCCTTGTCTCATTTTCTTCCTCTTTGGTCTAAAAACTGTGCTTTCTTCCATTAAGCTAAGTAAAAACTTTCTGAGAAGAGCAATTGAAGCTGAAGGAAGCTCACTCTTCAGTTGCTATACTAGGAAGTGGAAATGAAGTTGCTCGGTTCTGCTCTCAACTTTATTTACTCTAAAAGGTGGGCAATTTTCTCTTAAAATAAATCGTATTTGGAGTTACGTGGCTCAGTCAGCACAAGATGCATCTATGCCCAGGAACGGAGATTCAAAGAAAGGGAATGTTCTGCTGAAATCTGGAGAGACGGCCAGGAAACAGACTTGCTTGGTGACAGCATACACTAGAATATCCACAAGCATGGACAGGGTATCGTTTGACCACAGACATCACTGGGACTCGGCTCTACCACTTGTAAACAGAGCCATCCTTAGTAAAAGCAAGTGATGGAAGCCTCTTGCTTTGGGGAAACAGAAAGACAGATGTTGGCCGCCACCTGTCGGAGGCAAACATCAGGCCTTCCTTGCTGCCAGCATCTATATGTTGGGTCAGAGCTCTCTCCTCCTTCACCTGCTCCTCTGTCCAGGCAAATGCCTCTGCCTCCTCCAGTAGCTTTGGTCCAGTATGTGGTCAGGCTGTCCCTGAGCTGTCCCCATGGCCACTCAAGGGATGGGGGACAAACCGTTGAGGGGGCCACTGCCCCATGCTACTCCTTAACTCAGTGCAGCTTTAATTCAGAAAAGGTGCCCTTTGGGGCCCTCTCTGTGCCCTTGACTTCCAGGCCTTATGCCCAGTCTGTGAGGCTATGGTACCTGCTACATGCACTCCCAGCCTCCAGGCTGCCCTGAGCTCTCTTCTTCCAGACTTTAGTTCCTGGGAAAATGGAGACCTTTTCTGAGTGGGCCTCAGACCCACGTTTTTGGCTTTGCAGTGAGATGACTTTCCATGGACTATGCCCCCCACCTACCCAGCTCCTGTCCTGCATCTGGCTCATGGCAGACATCCTGCTTAGTGCCACTGAGCTGAGCTGCAAAGACGCTAAGGTCCTTTCTTCCCTCCACTTCCCCACCTTCACTCCCAGTACGCTGGCCTGATTTTTCTCTTTCTTTATGTAAGGCTGTTTCCTCCAGTCCCTCTGCTCTGGCTTAGCTCATTCTTCATTTTCCCAGTAACAACATGGCAGGGTCAGGAGTCAAGTGTCCGCTCCCTGCAGTTTGGATCACCACCTCTTCCTGCCACTCCCCAGTACCCACACATCGAGACTTTATGTAAATACCAATTCAAATGTTGGTAAAAATCTATCTTTACCCCTGGTAATTGTCCCTCAAATGTCTCTTTTCAGAGCTGTAATGATTATTAGCCAGTTACTTACCTTTTCTAAGCCTCAGGTTCTGAATTCACGAAGTAGGTTTAATTGTGTATAAATCATATTGCTGTAAAGACTGAATTAATTGATGCATATAAAATCTGTAAAGAAGTGGTTGGCACTTAGAAAGTGCTTGATAAATATTAGCTTTTATTGTTGTTCTTTGTGGGGTTTTTGTTTGCAAAGAGCCTAAGCTTTCAAATCCTACAGATATGTGTTTGAATCTGTCCTCTGCCATTGACTGCCTGTATAATTTTGAGTACGTTTTAAAATTTTGCTGAGCCTGTTTTCCTTCTAGTAAAATGAGGGAATTCAGACCTGCTTCCTAGGACTGCTAAGGGCATTAAATGAAAGGAGGCCTTTGTGTTTTCCAGAAAAGCAGTTCCCATCCTCCCCACAGTAATAACTGTTTTTTCTCCTTCAGCTGGTTGTTTTTTTAAAACTCTTATTTAGTATTCTTTTTTATCTTTAGCTCCCCATTGGGTGCCTAAAACACTTACTCGTAATCTTCCTCCATCTTACTAGCTCTCTTCTTGGAAATCATTTCCCTTTCCTCTTTGATCCTAAGCAAAACCTCTGCTCTATCCATGCCACTCCTCTTAGAATACCGGAAGGCAAGTGATCCGCCTTTCAGTGCCTTCCTGCTTGCAAAGCTGGGTGAGGTTTTTGTTTTTCTTTGTTTTGTTTTGTTTTGTTTTGTTTTTCTTTTTGTTCATTTGTTTGTTTGTTTTTGAGATGGAGTTTCCCTCTTGTTGCCCAGGCTGGACTGGAATGGCATGATCTCAGCTCACTGCAAGCTCCGCCTCCCGGGTTCAAGCGATTCTCCTACCTCAGCCTCCCGAGTAGCCGGGATGACAGGCACGCACCACCACGCCCAGCTAATTTTGTAGTTTTCGTAGAGATGCGGTTTCTCCATGTTGGCCAGGCTGGTCTCGAACTCCTGACCTCAGGTGATCCACCCTCCTCGGCCTCCCAAAGTGCTGGGATTATAGGTGTGAGCTACCACGCCCAGCCTGGATGAGTATTTTTAAGAGGCTGCCTCTAAAAACAACGCAGTGACTCCCTTCACTGGGATAGGATGCCACATCAGAACGAGGGCATGTGTTAGCACAGTGCAGAGAGTAGTGACTAAGAGGGATGCCTTCCAAGCACCTCTAGCCCCAAGGAGCCCACTCCCAACTCTAAGCGTGAAGCTACCCCACTGGCAGAGGCGGGAAGTGCCCGGGGTATCTTATGTCCAATTTCTCCTATCTCTAGCCCAGTTTCACATTTGGGTTTTTTTAGGGTTTTTATTTTCCTAGCTCCTCCATCCCAGATGTGGTCCTCATTCCCTTGTTATGGCTGCAATCCCTGCAAGTGCAAAATGTGGAATGATTCTTGTCAAATCTACCCCTTCCAGATTGGCTGACTTGAAGATCAGAGCTTTCCACAGAAGAAAAGACTTCCTGGCTCAATGTGTCAGCTCTGTTTCATGTAGCTAGATCTTTCAATTTGTAGCATAACCCCTGCAGCACTAGAGAGAAAAGATGATATGTCTGAAATGCTGAACTATGGTCACCCCTGTCTACCATTATGTTTCCACAGGCATTTCTATAAAAAGCTGCAAAACCAAGGGGTCTGAGATCTGACACCTGAAATGGCTGCAATCACACAAAGGCACCCCTTTTCACGTCCCTTGTTGATTGACCCATCCCATCCTGCCTTTCAACACACAGCCCATAACTCTATATTTAGGGCAGTGGCCGGCCATATGCTGTATACATGTTCCAGACACGTCTCACTCCTCTCTTGGATGGCTTCCCCTGTGAATTTGGTGTTAAACTCAGGACTGTGTTCCCAGCTCAGCTCAGCTGCTTACTGTGTGACATTACACACTTTTCTGGAGCTTTCCTGGGTTTCATGCTCTATAAAATAATAAACAATAGTGACAGCTCATATTATTGAGTGCTTTCTGTCTGCCCAGATCTTATTCTAAGTGTGTCCTATGTGTGAGTTTCTGGGGATGCACCAGTTCCTTTACGCTTCACCACAGTCTTACAAATGAGATATTACTGCAGAGGAGGAAATGGAAGCACAAGTGCTCCCAGGCAGTAAATAGCTGGAATTTGCACTCAGAGCCTATATGCTTAATCCTAATACTCTGATTTCTTTGAATTTGCAGGTTGTAATATATGCAACTACAATCAATTCTCATTATTCACAGTAGTTAGAGTCTATAAAGTCACTGCAAACACTGAAAGCAAATACTGAACCCTTGCTGCTGGAGAAATACAGGGCTACGGGCCCACGAGTGTGTGATTACAACATTTTCATCAACTAATCAATACGTGACCTTGTTTTGTGTATGTTCTTGTTTAAAGCCGTTTAATATACATCGTTGATGCATTAATGTTGAACTCGTGGCCCACAGCACCAAAACTCAGGCCTGAAGAAAGCTTATATAACATACAGATTTTCTCCAAAAGGCACGCCGCAGCCTTCTTGCCCTTAGGGACACTAGATAAGACTCCAGCATTACTCTTGGGGGCCATTTTAAACAGAAAAATCAGTAACAAAAGGCACAAAACCATGAAAAATGTAACATTAAATAGACCACGAGAAGGAGACTTGTTTACAGTATGAGAGCTGAGACACAGGTACAGCCTTACCTCGAGCCTTATTCAACCTCACCTGGGAAGGCAGGTGGGCAACTTCGGATTTTTTTGGTTGTCCTGCATTTGTTTGCAAACAACTGCAGAAGCAACAGTGAGTATTGATTTGGGGTGTTACAAATACATTTCAGTGAGTAGGTGAATTCACAGATATGGAATCTGTGGATAATAAAAATCAACTGTACATAATAATGAGGGGAAAATGTCTCAGAAGATCTTGAAACAAGATATTCTTCATTACAGAATAGATTAGAATATCCACATGCATAGACGGATGCATCGTGTGGCCACAGAGATCACTGTAACTCAGCTCTGCCACTTGTAAACAGAGCCACTGTGAGTAAAAGCCTAGTTGAACTAGGAGTTGGAGTTGAGGGGAGCATAGTAGAGGCAGGGGCTCTCCTACTTGCAGAGGTACGGTTCTATTCTATTGTTTTTCTGACCAAAAAAAAAAAAAAAAACAGAAAAGGAAATATTTTGCTCACCTCTTTGCATGATGGATGAGGCTTTATCTCTCAGAAATACTTGTATATCTTGACTGCTCTTTTCGGATTTTAGAAACATGTTTTCGCTTGTGGATACACAGTCTCTATGCCTATGACTTATATTTCTCGTTCTCTGCAATGGATTGGAATGGCATCTCAGTAGCAGATATTAAATCGTATTTTCTCTAGGGAGAAGATAAATGACTGGTAAAATAAAACAATGGAAATTAGTCCATTCCCATCCCATAAGCTAGCTCTTGGGATTTGTAAGCCAAGAAGTAGAAGTGGCTGAACTGGGGTTAGAGGGAAGCAAGGTTCCTGGTGTGGTTCTTTATAATCTTGCTAGTCAAAGATGGTCTGTGGACCAGCAGCAAGTGTTACCTAGGAGCCTGCAAAAAAAAAAAAAAAAAAAAAAAAAAAAAAAAAAAAAAATACAGACGCTTAGGACTCCCTGCAGATCCACTGAATTCAAATCTGAATTTTAACAAGATCCAAGTGTGCTTCCTAAGTACATGAAATTGAGAGAAGCAGAGCTTTGCAAAACCAAGCCCAGATCCCAGCTTGCCATTGCTTCACAATAGCATTCACCTGTGAATTCTCTTCTGGGCTCTTGAGTCATCACTCTGAGCACAGCTTTTCACAGTGCCAAGGCCACTGGGACCCCACCACAAAACTCTAGAACCCTCTGTGGCTCTTGCACCAGGACACCACTGAGCCTTCTTGCTGTCAGCAGCTAGTTTTGTTCATTATCCATCACCAGTATCTACAATGAAATATGTAAGTTACAAAATAGCCCAGTCGGCCCTCTTGATCAACCACAAGGTATTCCCCTTGTCGTAGATCCTAGAGGTCAAATTGTGACTTTCTTAGCTAACTAACTCATAGCAGAATAGATGTATGAGAGTTTAATATTTCAAAATTTTTAAAATCAAAGTTGTACCAAGTTTTTGTCTAACTCAGACGTCCATGACCCTCAAAACTAGACAATCATCAATAATCAGAAATTCAGTGCAGATTCTTAACTTTACCTTCTCCTGTCCACAGTTTCCCAATCTGTAGAATAAATGGAAGATAATGGACTGCCTCTCTATTTCACAGAGGCTTCATAAAGATCAAACAAGAATGTGAAGAAGTACACTCTAAAACATGATGTGCTATGCAAATGCCCATTATCGTAATTGCTATTTCTAGTAAGGACAGCACAGTATTAATACTCCTAAAAATTCAACAGTTTATTAATACACAGGAGAATATAAATGTATATATTCATTTTGAGGCATAAAATAGTTATTAGTATTTTTGGTGTTACATTTCTAGAATCGCCAATTGAAGTGTATGGAATCAGATCACATCTTGTAACCATTTAGATGTTGCCTTTGACAGTGACTGCTGGTCAACCGGAACAGACAGAGACATTCTGGCTTCTTTCTGAAGTCTGAGGTTCTTAAAATGCAATGAAAGTATTTGGGCCATTTTTAATGGAAATGTCATTCTTGATATTTGTGAAACCATCAGAGACCAGCAAACCTTCTAAAAAGCTTCTTTTTGTGTTGCCCTTGCAAAGCACGAATGGTTGTCACATTAAACACCCAGTCAGGCAGTCCTTCCCTGCACACACACCAATATATTTTCCAAGAAAGCTCACGGATGGCTGTAATGGATAACCTTAGCTCCTCCTCAGATTCAAAGTCCGGCTGGCCGTCTGTTTGCAAAGGTTTTAGTAAGACGTGTGCCATTTGGGAAGCTGTTGTCTGAATAGCTGCTGAACGTCGCAACCTGCAGATGCCCACACAACCCTTTAACTCATCTTGGTTAATGAAGAGTGGTCCCTACTGCAGGACTCATTTCCTTCTGGTAAGCGAGGTGTTTGGTGGGGCACACTTACTTGTCTGAGCCATTAGAATCCAATTTATGCCATCCTGCCTCTGGAATGTAGTGTAACCAGCACATCTGGCCATGTCTGCTCAAACACTCAGTGGTGCCAGTGAAGGAGTGTGGAATGCACCACCCAGAGCTGGCAGCTCAGGCTAGCAAGCAGTGGATTCATCACTGGAGATCACAGAACCCAAAGATATGGGGTTTATTTTTTCTCTTTGCTTGATACCCAGGAGTACTATTTCCTCCTGGGTACCATGTGGTCTAGAACTCTGTGTTCCTATGCAGCATGTTACCCTCCATGTGCCCACAGGAACAATATCCAGAAACTGCTCAAATCTGTTCTGCAAGGAGCAGGCAATAGTGTCTTATTTTTTAAAACTTGACACTGCCTTCTTTTCAGTATTCTTCTTTTTTGCTTTTAAGTTTGATTCGAAATGAGATGTCTAGTAAGAACTTTTTAATAAAAAATTTCTTAATTGAAAAAGAGTTAGCAGACAACTACACCAGAAGTAATAGCATCATGTCAATAACCTTAAATTATATTACCTAATATTTAATCCTGTTAAAAGGTTGGCCTTCTCAGAGAAGTTCTTGTTTGTTTATTTGCTTTGTTTTGTTTTGTTTTGCTTTGAGACAGGGTCTCACTCTGTTGCCCAGGCTGGAGTGTGGTAGCACGATCCCAGCTCACTGCAACCTCTCCCTCCTGGGTTAAAGCAATTCTCGTGCCTCAGCCTCCCAAGTAGCTGAGATTATAGGTGCACACCACCACACTCAGTTAATTTTTGACGTTTTTAATAGAGGGTGGGTTTTGCCGTGTTGCCCAGGCTGGTCTTAAACTTCTGGCCTCAAGTGATCTGCCCACCTCAACCTCCCAAAGTGCTGGGATTACAGGCAGAAGCCGCCACACCCAGCCGCCTCAGAGAAGCTTGATGCCAGGCACTGAGGATTCAAAGATGGGAAAGATCTGTTACTAGACATAGGCATCTCTTTGGAGTATGAAGGAAAGTGAGGGTGGAGAGGAGGGCAGAGGCCGGGTCAGTGTCACGTGAAACAGTTTTGATTGTGTTTAGTCAGTGGGAGCGATGGAAGGGGATTGGGTGAGAAAAATGAGAGTTTGTTGTTAACATTAGTGTTCTGCCATTACTCTGTGGAGGACACAGATGGGGGCCAAGACCAGAAGACAGAGAAAGAGACCACTGGGGAAACTACTGTAGTCACCCAGATAGGAGGGAAGGAGGGGTTCATTTTGTTTTGTTTTGTTTTGAGACGGAATTTCCCTCCTGTTGCCCAGGCTGGAGTGCAGTGGCCTGATCTCAGCTCTCTGCAACCTCCACCTCCCGGGTTCAAGCGATTCTCCTGCCTCAGCTTCCCGAGTAGCTGCGATTACAGGTGCCCGCCACCACGCCGGGCTAATTTTTGCATTTTCAATAGAGACAGTGTTTCGCCTTTTTGGCCAGGCTGGCCTCGAACTCCTGACCTCAGGCGATCTGCCCACCTTGGCCTTCCAGAGTCCTGAGATTACAGGCGTGAGCCACCGCGTCTGGCCAGAGGGGTTCATTTTAGAAAGCGGAAGTCAGCAAAAAGACGAGGCAACCAATTCAGAAAATAATTAGGAGGCAAATAATTGGCAGGTTATTGAGTGGTGTTGAAGGGGTGCAGAGGGAGTCTTTTTCTTTTTCTTTTTCTTTTTTTTTTTTTTTTTGAGACGGAGTCTCGCTCTGTCGCCCAGGCTGGAGTGCAGTGGCGCGATCTCGGCTCACTGCAAGCTCCGCCTCCCGGGTTCACGCCCTTCTCCTCCTCAGCCTCCCGGGCAGGGCGGGTAGCTGGGACTACAGGCACGCAGCACCACGCCCGTCTAATTTTTGTATTTTTAGTAGAGACGGGGTTTCACCACGTTGGCCAGGCTGGTCTCGATCTCTTGACCTCATGATCCACCCGGAGGAGAGAGTCTCTAAGGATACTGTAAGACACCCTATAAGAGGGTCCTGGTGTTTCTTGGGCCCATGGACAGATGTGCTGCCATTTATGGAGATGGAAAAGCCGGGAGGGAGAATAGGTAGGGAGTTTTGGAGATCATAACTTCAGCTCCTGGCTGCAGAACCTGCGAAACATCCAAGCAGAGCTGAGCACTCAGATGAAGCTTTAAGTCCAAAGCTACAAGGGAAAGCATAGGATATAATTGTGGGACTTTTAGAAAAACACACTATTGCTTGACGACTCTCCTAATTGAGTATCTGAATGTTTCAATTCAATGTTTTTAAAACCAACTTAAATTCTCCATCTTCACCAGTATGATAATAGTATGCTTATCATTTCAACATCTGTAAGTCTTCTATTTCCTTCAGAGTCTTTCTTAATTTCGTCAAGGGTTAATTTCTTTTAATGAGGTACATTTGGTCATTAATGTATTGTTTATTTAAAAAACATAAAACATGCTCATTTGTGATTGGAAGTTACATATAAAAAAGGAAAGCATTCATCATTTAAGGGGTGATTATTTATATTTCAAGTTTCTGATATTGTTCTCTTAAAATAAATCTGACTCCATTTCATATCCCAATAGCAAAAACAAAATATTATTTGCCCTACCCTGGAAGGTTTCATGTTATTTGGAAATATATGTGACTTGATGGTTTTTTGTGTGTGTGTGATAGTTCAATGACGTTTTATTAAGAAAGATTCTTCTATTCCCATTTTAACATATTCTTTCAAGTATCTTAGATGATCACAAAAATATTCTCCTAGACATCAATGGCAAAGTTTATTATAAAATATTTCAGCTTCTGCATTTTTTTAATAACAAAAAGAGAATAAGTGAATCTATAACACTTGTTGCTATGGCAACTCACATATTTCTATATTGAGAAAGAACATGGAAATTTCTAAATGCATTTTTATCCTTATGACATATGTCTCTGTATAGACAAGACCATATACTTTGGGTGACTTTAAGTCCAGGAGACTAGGAGATGCCTTCTTTTAGATATTTCATATTAACTTTCCTGCAGAGACAGATGCCATCAGACCTGGGTCTTGGTAATTTGTTGGGGTGTGTGTGTGTGTGTGTGTGTGTGTGTGTGTGTGTGTGTGTGTGTGTATATATATATATGGAAATATATGTAAAATATATATATATTTTACACATAGTCCAAGAAGAAAATTGATTGCTGTTATTTTAAAGTAAGATTGGAAATTATCCCTAACAGAATATTTATGCTTTAACTGTTTATTAAATCTGTTTAGTTTTTGCTTTAACTGTTTATTAAAACTGTTTTTTCAAGGCATTTCAAATTTGAAATTCATCGGTAGATAAATCATGTGTCTGCCTGATCCTTAGCCTTGGTCGGCTCTAAATCAAATATGTTGGACATACATTCATTTATTAAGAAATGTTTATGACAACTACATTTAGGATCTCTGCTAGATTTATAATCTGGAGGAGGTAACCGTCACAAGCGGATCGTTATACAAAATATGCCAAATGTATGTGCCAGGAAGGAAATATAAACAGGTATCATTGGAACATAGAGAAAGGTCATTCAACTTAGCCTGAAGGCATCAGGAAAATTTTGGTAGGAAGAAGAGTAGGGAGAGGAAAGAGAGAGAGAGAGATGATGCCTGAATTAATTCTTAATGAATGAGGCTCACCCTGTAGGATATTTTTGTCTAAATAAAAATGAATACTTACATAGACAACAACTAATATTAAATACTAATATTTAACAACTACCGGAAAACACCCTTTATGTACCCACAAAAGCAGCTCTTTGTGCATGAAGGAAAAAAATCAAGGGAGATGCATGATTAGGTAATGAGAGTTCAGTTCAGTTTATTGAGCTTGTATTATTGCCAGACATGACACAGAAACAAAGGTGGCTCCCAAGGCGTTCACCTTGTATGAAACTTAAACAAGCTTAGAAAGGAGTTATAACCCTACCCTACAACAGGACTCCTTAAATACAGCTCTATTTAAGTAGAATTTCACTAAAAACTTATGGTGAATAAATGTAAATATTCAGAACATTTATGTTATTTAAATCTTTTCCTTAAAAACAGGGATGGGTGAGAAAAATCAGAAAAAAGAGCAATTATGTTGGTAATCAACCTGAGGAAACAACTGTCTCTCTTTTTTTCCTTTATCTTTCTTTCTTTGCTGTTGTTTTGTTGTTGTTGTTTGTGTTGTTGTTGAAGACAACAGAAACCACAATGTCTACACAGGTAAATGAGAAATTCAAATGATCTGAAAAACAAATTAAAAGTGAGAACCAATGGACTAGAATTTAAAAGATATGAGAATTATTTCTACCTCTGCTATTTATTCATTTGCAGTACAACTTGGGCAATGCCCTCACCTCGTGCTATGATCTGAATATTTGTGTCTCTCCAAAACTCATGTTGAAAGCTCATCCCCATTGTTGACATAGTAAGACATGGTGACTTTAGGGGATGATTTGGGCATGAGGCCTCCACCCTCATGAATGAGATTGCCTTTAAAAAAGTGACTTAAAGACGGTTCCTGCCTCTTCCCCGACAGGAGGAGGCAGCAAGAAGGCACCATTTAGAAGCAGACGACAGCCCTCACCAGACACTGAATCTGCTGATGCCTTAACATTGCACTTCACAGGCTCCAGAACTATAAATAATAAATTTATGGTGCATATAAATCGCCCAGTCCAATGTATTCTGTTATATCAGCCTGGACTGATTAAGACACCCCATAAAATCAGAGGCTTGGATAAGGTACCACATCTGAGCTAGGCACAGAGGAATCAAGAATGGGGGTGGTGCTTGACCTTGGGACACATAGAGTCTATGGTAGAGATAATAGAAGAGTCAACAGAGCAATGAGGTTACTGTGGAACAGAGAGACAGGAACCTAAAACCAGCCATTCTATGATTCCATTTCTTTATGCCAGATAAGGCCGTATGAGCAATGGGGTCATTTCACCTGAAACTTACCGACTCATTACAGAATGAGGTACAAAGCCAGACATTTTTTAAGTAGAATTATATGAAAAGTGACTCTTACATATTTACAATATTTTAAAGGCTGTGGAGGGAATATGCAGAAACATCAACAGAACAAATTGAAAGTATACAATGTTCCCCAAATAGTACTTTTATTATGAGTTAAAGCTAGCACTTCAAATCAATAAGAACATGAAATCTTATTTAAAAAATATTGTTAACCAACTGCATGGCAACTAATCTGAATGAAATATTTAAATATTAACATGAAGAACAATTCCATACATGTAAAAATAATGTGAAAGATGTTCTTTTTTTTTTTTTTTTTGAAACAGAGTCTCGCTCTATCATCCAGGCTGGAGTGCAGTGGCATGGCTATCTCGGCTCACTGCAACTTCCACCTCCTGGGTTCAAGTGATTCTTCTGCTGCAGCCTCCTGAGTAGCTGGGATTACAGGTGCCCACCGCCAAGCCCACCCAATTTTTGTATTTTGGTAGAGAAGGGGTTTCACCGTGTTAGCCAGGCTGATTTCAAACTCCTGACCTCAGGTGATCCTTCTGCCTCAGCCTCCCAAATGCTGGAATTATAGGCGTGAGCCACCATGCCCCGCCGATAGATGTCCTAAAATGACATCTACACCGGAAAACTAACATGGTAAAAAAAAAAAAAAAAAAAACAAACAAATAGAATACTTGAGTCTATAAATCTTTTTAAAGCTTCTGTGACAGAAGATGTCATAAAATTTAAAGAGATTCCACAAACTGAGAAAATAATTAGAAAGTATATGTTAGGAAAAAATCTAATGTCCTTAATAATTCTTAATGCATATTATTTTTTACCTATTTATTTAGAAGTTTAAGTTTTTAAAATTACTAATACCCAACATTGGCTTGCCTGAGAAAAAAAGGTTTAATACATTACCCATAGAGGTAAAAATTGATAAAACTTTTTGTAGGATAATTTTGGAATATCAATAAATAGTCCTTGCAAAATGCAAAAATGTCAATGAAGCATTCCCAGCTTGAGGAACATATTTTAAGGAAATAACTAAACATCAATGTGTACAAGGAAGCAGTCACAGGGATTTTCAACCAAGTGCTGTTAGTAAGAATGAAAAAAACACCATTACCCAAAATAGCCAAAAATAGATGATTGAGTCAATAAATGATCATATACAGCTTTACATATGTTGTTATGGACTAAAAATTTTATTATATATCTATTAATTATTGATAATATTGATTTTCATGGAAATATTTTTATCAAAAAAATTAGTGGCCAAGCCACTACATAGAACATAGGTATAATATGCCAATACATAGAATAATAGGTATAAATGGGCCTGTAGTTTTGGATTTCTTAAATTATCTGCTATTCTGAAATAACCATCATTGACTGCTTATATTGCATTTTAAAATGTATTTTGTATCTAAAACTGAATTGTACTTTAGAGGCCAAAGACACGGAGAAAAAGAGTCTCAAAAATGGAACAAGAGAAACAATGGTGAAAAAAGATTTATCAATAGTTCAAGAGTCCTCTGGAAGAGGAGAATTCCACTTGGAAGAGATTGGTATAGAACAAGTAAAGAAAAGCAGGAGTTGGAAATAAGTTTCAGGTAAAGAACAAGAAGAACTTTGCATAACAAAACATGGCAGGAGTAGGCAAAGGACAGGAGATAAAGATCAAGGATAACACTGATGATTAATCTAGGCTTCTGGGTTGGAAAGTCAGTCATAAGATAGAAAACGGTATCTGAAGAACAAAGATGGAGTCTGGGGAAGGCAGGAACAAGACTTTCTGAGGGAGAAAAAATAGAATGTTTTAGGAGCCTTAGAACAAGGGTTGGCAAATGATGACAGTCCTGTTTCTGTATAACCTGTGAGTTAAGAATTTTTAAATGGTCTTTTAAAAAATTAAAAGAATAATATTTCTTGAAATGATAAAGCTATATGAGATTCAGATCCCACAGTCAATAAATGAAGTTTTATTGGAATACTGCCATGCTCATTTTATGTTGCCATGGCTGCTTTAGGCCCACAAAACAGAGTTGAGTGCTGTTGGTTGCAACACATATCCCAGAAAACTTAAAATATTTACTAACTGGTTCTCTACAGAGTTTTCTGGCACCCCTCCTCCTGCCCAAGTCTAAAGTCTAAAGGAGACATTAAGAAACAGGCAAATCTTTAGGTAAGACATTACATAAGGATTGCCCACATGAAATCTAGAGTACAAGAGATTCCAAATACTAAAATAACTATTATTCATGCTTCAGAAGATGTGGAAGAGGTATTAGGCAGTTCTTGCATTGCTATAAAGAAATACCTGAAGCTGGGTAATTTATAAGAAAGGTTTAATTGGCTCACGGTTCTGTGGGCTATACAGGAGGCGTGGCATCGGGCATCTGCTCACCTTCTGACGAGGCCTCAGTAAGCTTACATTCATGGTGGAAGGCAAAGGGGAGCAGACATATCACATGGTGAAAGCAGGGGCAAGAGAGAAAGTAAGAGAGAGAGAGACAGAGAGAGAGGTAGGGGGAGGCGCTATACATTTTTAAATGACCAAATCTCACAAGAGCTCAGAGCCAAGGTGATGGCCCAAGCCATTTGTGATCCAAACACCTCCCACCAGGTCCCACCTCCAGTATTGGAAATTTGGGCAAGGACAAATATCCAAACTACATAAGATGAGAACCTTGTTCCAAACTCAAACCCTATCACCCGCTAGTTTTGTGACCTTGGGCACATTGCCTGATCACTTCAACTTCAGTGTCCTCGATTATAAAATGGAAAAGTGACTATATCTACTTCATAAGAAATTCGTAAGGATTAAATGAGGTAGAACGAGTAAAGCTTTTGGCACAATCACGAACATAAAACAAGTTCTCAAAAATTATAGCTATTATTATCATTCTTTATTATAGGCGTGCAGTTAATGTCATGGATTGTACTTTTATGGATATGAACTTGAAGTAAGCTATGTGTTTTATCCAGGGGCAAATAGTAGTCACTGACAGAGCTCTTCCACTTTGCTTATAGCTGCAAAGTGTCCAATATCCAACACACCCACTCTGCTTACATTTGGCTTTAACTCTGCATTCAGAGGGATGTGCTCTATGTTGTCTGAGCAAACTACTATTGCTGGCTTCCCCACCAGCTTAAGAGTCTCCCACCAGCTCCATTCCATCCTGTTGCCGCAATCAGTCCCACATTGTCTCGAGGATCTGTTGGTCCAAACCCTGGTATTAAATGTCAAGTATAATCGAGGTTCTTTTGCTTTCAAGGCTCAGAAATTCTCCCTAACTGGCCCAAATAAAAAGTTACATTTGTGATAAAGTCATACAGCGAATTTAAGAAAGTGAAGTTCAGGCTGTGTGCGGTGGCTCACGCCTGTAATTTCAGCACTTTGGGAGGCCAAGGTGGGTGAATCACAAGGTCAGGAGTTTGAGACCAGCCTAGCCAACATGGTAAAACCCCATCTCTACTAAACACACACACACACACACACACACACACACGCAAAATTAGCTGGGCATGGTGGCAGGCACCTGTAATTCCAGCTACTCAAGAGGCTGAGGCAGGAGAATCCCTTGAACCTGGGAGGCAGATGTTACAGTGAGCCGAGATCACGCCACTGCACTCCAGCCCAGGTGACAGTGCAAGACTCCATCTAAAAAAAAAAAAAAAAAGAAAGTGAAGTTCAAGTAGACCTTATAAGAACTAGGAACCAGAAAAGTACCAGGTTGTAAGGAGCCCAGTTTCTTAGCTTCTCCATTCCCTTCCCTCGGGGTCCTGCGTCTTTCTTCTCTTCCTCCTCTCATTAAAGATAGGATTTTCCTGTTGATTGTTCAACTTTCATGTAGCAACAGGTGGAAGCCAGTTCACTGTGTCTACCATACACTCCTGCTTTCGAGTCCAATGGCAAGGACTGGACCACTCCCCATATTGACGGGAAGAGGATGAGATGCCTTATCCCAGGCAGTGGATAGATTGCCCGATCTAGTCAGCTGTGGTGGGCTGGGTGAGTTACAGAGTTCCTTCTCACTCCCTAGGGCCTTAAACTGGGTAAGTAATGTTAGGTAAGGGGAGAAGGTGGTCTACATTTATGTAGACCTTTCCTTCAAGCCTCAGCTCCAGCCACCTCCTCCAAGAAGCCTTCACTCACCACACACACTGATTCGCGTGCCCTTTCTCGGCATGCCCAGAGCATGTTGGTTATACCTCAAGCCTGAATAAGTTCACTAAGGATAAAGTTTCCCCTTTATCACTTGGGTCTATTCCACATTTTCAACGTATTATGTGTTTAATAAACACTGAATTAAAAGAGTTAATTAGTATAAAATGAATAACAAGCCATTGTGGTGTCAAACACAGGCAAAATTCAAAAGGTATATGAAAAAATATTCCACATCGCTCATCACCAGGGAAATGCAAACCAAAAACCACAATGAGGTATCACCTCACCCAAGTTAGGACAGCTATTATCAAAAACACAAAAAATAATAAATGCTGGTGAGGGTGCAAAGAAAAGGGAACTCTTAGGCATTGTTGGTGGGAATGTAAACTAGTTCAGTCCTTATGGAGAACAATATGAAGGTTCCTCAAAAAACTAAATGCAGAACTACCATATGATTGAGCAACACACTGCTGGGTATATATCCAAAGAAAATGAAATCAGTATGTCCAAGGGACATCTGCA